AGAGACAGCGATGAAAGCGTAGACATCGAAACTACTGAGGAGGATCACACTAAAGACGCAGTAAGTTTATTGTCTATCCTTTTCTGACATAAAGATGGAACGAAGAGGTACTTGAAGTTAGGATTAATAGGGTTGCCGAAAATACTTCGATAGCAGATTTATTTGCTCTAGTGTTTTAGTAACCGTATTGTATTTAATGTTTTTATTCAAGTTGTTAAGTTAGAAACGTAAAACAAGAGTTTTACAAAAGCCACATAAATAAGATAGTGGTTTACGAATAAAAAAGTCTAATCCGAACCACGTAAACGTTTTCCAAATGCAAGTCGATAGCTTAGCATTGAGTGGATCGCATTATCCAGTAGTAAAGTGAACTCCGCATTCAGTGCTCAGTTGAATCCAATTTAAAAAGTTGCCATGAGGAAAAATTTCCAATCACAATCCCCTTGGAATGAAAACGTTCGATTTTTTTTACCTAATTCATAGTTTCTTATAAAGTAATTCTTATCTTTTAAGCCTTAGTAGGCTTTATCGGATTTATCGTTATATTTTTTGTAGCAAAATACGAACAAGAACGTAATTCTGGCAATAACGAAATTTGCCACTATAGAACTTTAAACCATTAACTAGCATAACTGATCGTATCGTTATAACTCCTGTAATAAAAACTGAAAATGAATTTCGTATAAAAATAAAAACAAATTAATTTTCCTCGTTGTAAATACAAAGACGTTCTCTAGAGATTCCGCGCCGCGCCGCCATTTTGTGGAAATCGTTCGACGGACGCTTTGGCACGTCGTAAACTCTGTAATTACTGCCGGCGTGAATTCAAATGGACTTCATTTCGATTTTAAATAAGAGAAAATGTTTAATTTACTACCGATCCGATTTCTGGGGACCAATTAATTGGGGATTTTCATTCCGTGTTCGTGTTGAACACTACGAATGGACTCTATGGTTTGTTGTCTGTGGTTTACACGTGTTTGCTTTCCTTTATCTCCTATTGAATAAGGTGTTTTGATGTTTTTTTGTTGTTTTTCTGCGAAGATGTTACCTCATTAGTCGTTGACGCGATGTTTTGCTATAAAGAAAATATGCTTGTGACTTATTTATCAGGTTCTCATATCAATATATGTAGATTTGTATTTAACTGGTGTTTTTTTCATCAATTTCCACGAATTTATTAAATCGAAAAAAGGTGAATTTATTCTGAAAACCAGCGCGGCGTTTAGTGACAAGCTGGAAGCCGCATCAGCTGAGCCTTCTCCTTTTGGCCAAGAATTTTTTTTTAATTTTCATTACAGTAAATAATATGTTTTGTAAGTTGTGTTCTTTTTTATAATTCTTTTGGTCAATAAATAGTGTTTATTTTTTATTGGCTGTACAAATATGACCAAATATTTTGTTTATTGAAGACCCTAGAATCATAGATTACAAGCTGATTATGATAGATGGCATTGCAATCATGTTATATTCTTTGACGAACAATAGATTGGGGTCCCAGTACTTTATAACTTGCAGTACAAGCAATTCACACATATTATAAGCATATACACCTCTAAAGTATATTTATAGCTAAATTATCGTGTTTCTTTTATTCACCAATACTAAAGGAGCATTATGTTGTAAATACAGAGGCGACAGAGCCTCTCTAATGATTGACGCAGCCGTTAGTAATTAACGCGCCTCTAGGGTTTTCCTTTTAATCCCTTCAAAGGAACGGTTAGGGTTGTCAACGCAGTTTTATTTTATTATTTAATTACAGACAGTAACAGCAACTTGTTTTTTAATTATTTTTTAGTTGTAAAAGTATGAAAGCATTTCGCTTATCAAAATCATTCAATTTACTTAAATACAGGTTAATTTTTTTTTTATCTCATTTCCTACACTGATAGAATGATAATATTTCATTCGATATCGTATAAATTTAGATCAAAATTGTTATGAAATCAATGAAATAATAAATTTTAGGAATTTCGGATTTTCCATACATATAACATTTTTGATCATTTAAGTACGGATTACTGATCTTGAGGTCAAGGGTTCGAATCCCGCCAGTCGACTATTATCGTGAACCATATCATAGCACAAACCTAGCTTATTTGGAATGGATAAAAGGAATTATTATTAACTTAACAAAAAATCTACTAATATTTTTATTAAAAAAAATGTATGGTCAAACCTGAACATTATATAAATTAATCAATCATCGCATTTATAAAACGTCCGTGCAAGATTAGGCTTTAAATTCTGCTGCAAACGTTTAGGAGATTAAAACTGCATCGTACAGATCGGATCGAAGCGCGATGGCCGCTACCGGTCTAGAATTAAAGCCGCTTACGATGCCTCGGGTGCCATCAGCTTATTGCATTGCTGTTTTGATTTCCAGCCTTCCGATAATATTTACGAACAGAGGACACGACATTAATGTAACTATAACTCCATTTCCGTTATGTTTAAATTTGTTTTTAAACTTTTTGAACAAACATTACAATAAATATGCTAAAACTAAGCTACTACAGAATTTAGGGTCTGTCCCACTAAATTGTAAATTGTCTGATCCAACTTGTAAAATATGTGATGGAAATATCGGATTTTGTTACCTTATCTGACAGTGACGTCATTTTTTAAGCTATACGCCTCTTACATCTAGTAGTGGGACAGGCCTTTAATATCGCTTTTGTTATCTGAGAAAAAAAGAGTACATACCTATGCAGGAGCTAGAATTATTACAATTATATCATCTCAAAACTTAAAAGCCTAAAAAAACAAATCTTTATTTCCGACAGGAATGGTATAAAAACGATATTTATTAATTTTCAGATATTCTAACCTCGAAATACCAAAGTATTGTTTATTTTATTAATGTGATTACTGAATGACACACACGTATCGTAACCAAACGATGGCACGCGGCATAACACATTTCACTTCGCTTAAGTAAATCTTATTTACTAAATTAAAAGTTCACTTCATATTGTTCACACACTCATTCATAAAATTAAGCGAACTTAATACCACAGATAAAACAATAAGATTAAATACTATGAACTAATTTATAACTTTTACATCTTATTTAAATATTATTTAACGTGTTAGTTAACTACATATTCATTAAGAAAAAATACAGAGTATTTGAATTTGGAATACAGATAATATTTTTTCTATTTCTCTTTTTGAATTAAATTCCATTTCTCTTCTTTCTCAGTGGCCAGTAACTTTGTGCATGATTTTTATACTATTTGAAATGTTTTATAAATGACAACCCATAGTATGTTAACAGAATTACAAAAAAGTTAAGGATTTTCAACCAAAAGTTTAGTGAAAAGTTGCCTTACAGCCCAATCACTAAGACAAATCGTCGTAATCCTCTGGACGAACATTAAAGGAATACACGCCGCAATGACACGTCGTAAATACTTCTCTACTTCGCTACTACACTAGGGTGACAATACTTTGTTAGTATTTAAGAAACCGTGTTATACAACATAACGGATATGCTAAAGCCTTAAATTTTGGTCGAGCTCATTATAAGAAACTAGCTTTCGAATTGTGGAATAAAAAAACACAAAAGTACGTTACCTATGTGTTCTTCCAGACTATGCGCCGTAGCTGTACAAAAATTTCATTAAAATTCTTTGAGCCATTCTGGAGATACCTTCTAACAAACCATCCATCCATCTATCTAAACTTTCACATTTATAATATTAGTAAGATATAGTATGGGTTATGAAGTTTATTGGCTATCATGATAATTGAGAGCCGGTATTGTTTGTATTTTGAAGAATCAACTTTTCCCATATTAAAACGTGTACTTGGATTATTTTTAAGGTTTAAATGTTGAATAGCAAAGAATCAAGAAACATACGTCAAAGTACCAACTTTCATTTGAACCAATCAGAGGCAAACAGAATTGTCCTTATAAACGACAGCGATCTGGCTACCCTAGTATAGAGCTGTGTTTGCACGCGCCTCACGTAGTTAATAGATACTTTGAGCGTATCCCAAGCAAGCGATTCAATTGTATATCTTGATGTTGGTATAAATCAGTGGACGATTCTCTGAGCACCGAACATTCTTCAGTCACGTACGACATTACGTTTATGGGGCTTGTTTAAAAAAGTTCACAAATACA